AACTAAAAAGTGCGTTTTACATAAATTACTAATGGTTGTATATATGTCTACTTTTATGCTCCCATAGTAGAGGTTTATGCTCCCATATTAGGGTTTATTATCCCCTTCAAATCTACTAAATTATTCAAATCAAATGTTTTAAATCATTTAATATTTTACGTTCATCTATGAGGGTTTAAGCTGACATCTTAGGGTTTAGTATTCCTTTAAATCCACAAGTCAAATATAGTATTTTAAATTATACAATATTGTACGTTCGTTTCTGAGGGTTTAGGCTCTCATACTGGGGTTTAGTATCCCTTCAACTCTAAAATTTTAGTCAAATCGAGTGCTTGAAATCATATAATATTTTACGTTCATTTGTAAGGGTTTATGCTCACACATTAGTGTTTAATACTCCTAAAATTTTCAAGGAAATTAATAATGAAACAAACATGTTAAAATATTTTATGAACTCACTCTTTAGTTTGATTAAAATGTAAAAAGTAGACATATATACAACCATTAGTAAATTATATAAAATACACATTTTAATTTAATTATTTTAAATGATTTAATCTAATTATTTTATTTATATAATATTAATTGTTTAACTATATTACTAGAAAATTTTGATTGGTTAATTAAGAGAGGGTGAATAAGAGAGGTTATATTTGTTCTATTTGGAATGTTAGGGGTTTGAAGGCATGTCAATTGGGCTCACCCGGCCCACCTAACCCGAAACCCATAAAGCTTACATATATTTAATGCCGGCCTAACTTGGGCCGAAAAATATTCTGACCTATTTTTCAAAACCTGGTCCGGTCCAAACAGGGATACTATGGGTTTTTCGAACTTATATTAAAAACAAAAAAAATGAAAATTACTTACAAAATAAATTTAGATTTAAACAACTACCAATATATAGATATTTTTTTTAATCAAAATCCAATTTAATTAAAAACAAAAGTTTGACCAAATGAATAGAAATGTCAAATGAATCAAAAGAACTATAAATATATAATACTACCTAATAAAACATATACTAAACACTGAAAACCTATGTGCTAAAGTCAAGATTCGGTTCCTTTTTAGTTCCCTCTAAATCTTCATCACCATTCAGAGCTACATATACAAATAAAAATAAAGTATTAAGTTTTGACATAAATCATATAAAAAATTTCACTAAAAATTATGGGTATTGATTTTAAAAATATCAAGTAAAATATGAATAGTATTACCACCTGGATTACGAAACGTTAATCCATCCAACC